ACATACATATACACACATCTATATATATATATATGTATACATCTATATATGTATATATATATACACATATATATATATTCATATTCTAAAATACATGTCTCCTGCCTTGTGGGTTCGCGTGTCTGTTGGCATGTCTGTCATTTGTCATTGACTTGTCATGTAGCCTTCGCGCTTTGGACGCACGCTGGGAGGCACGGCCTTGGAGAGGAGGCTGGTGCAGCTCGTGGACCCGGAGCGGAGCGCTCTGGCGGCGTTGATGCGGGCTTTGAAGGCCCGAGAGACCGAGGCCCGCGGGCACGCTGCGGTGCTCAGCGACCTTTTGCGTGAGGTGGGCGACTGCGACTAACCCCGCAAACATGCTTCAGTTCTGGAAAGCCCTGCAGGTTTCCGGGCCACTGCCGGCGCTGGAGGAGGAGCTGCGGCATCGAAGAGGCGACGCAGCGGGTGAGGAGAGGCTGCAGGCGCTGCTGGCGGACTCATGGCGGACCCTGGCACGACTGTTGGCTGTGGCAGACAAGCTTGCCCCGGTCGCCGTGGCCCAAGACATTGTGGCATCAGCGCTCTGCGAGTCGAGAGCTCTCACGACATGAGGCTCAGCCGCTGGCGGCTTCTCTGGCGCATGCCATTGATCGCATGGCTCTGATTTGCGTCAGAGAGGCGCGAAGCAAGCCGTAAGACTAAGCCATCTCCTAGAAATCGGGTCGTTTTGTGGTCTTGCATTCAGCAGGCGCCATGCCACTTGAGCAGCTTGAGCTTGCGACATGCTTCAGTAGTCCTGGAGTTCTAGCAGACTCGTCGGACTTTCGGGCAGAAGCCGTGTGACGACCGTCTCTGATGGTTCGACTCGACTGGGTGAACAGCCTCTGAGCTCGACGGCTCGCGGCTTCGGTACATCGGAGTCTCCGGCTGTGAACCAAGTCGTGGGGATCAAAGAATCAAGGGTGAGCAAGAAAGAATCAGTGCTGGATGGACAGCTTTGTCTGTGATGTCGGTACAACCGCTCAACCGCTCTGCACTCTTGCCCGGGCTAGGTAGCACGCAACCCCGAAGAAATCAGCGCGTATGGGTGGGAGTAACCGAAGAACATTCGCAAGAGAGTTCGATGCTGTAAGGGCCTCTCAACTTGACTACACTTGACTGCCATGGACGACCCCCTGACCTTGAGGTGGACCGAGTTGCCATCCGCTGTCATGAAGAATACGAGCAGTTGCTGCAGGTCGGCTGATGCACATCAACTCTCCAATCGGGCTTGATGCATGTGTAAGTGTAACCGAAACATGTAGCATATGTGCATCGAGAGGCCTTCTTTGAAAGCGACGTTGCCGTCTGACCCAGCGTTTCCTACGAAAAGTTCGAGTCACCCAGCTTTTCGCGTTTCCCACTCTGAATTCAGAGCCCGGCCGAGGCGAGGAAGCAGGCGGAGGATCTCATCGAGAAGATCGGTGGCCTCAGCCTCAGAAGAGCCCCCGGATCAGACGCAGATCTCCTTTTCTGTTTGCGCCTGGGAGGCCGCCACGCCAGCGGCGACCTTGCAAGCAGGCTGAAGGTCATGGAGGCTTCGAAGGGCAGAAGCACTGAAGCTATGTAATTCCAGTATGTTCCAGTTCCTTCTAACCGGCACATGGTGCCAGAACGAGCTCCAGCAGCAAGCTCGGACCCACGCCAAGCTCATCGACGAGAAGAACAGCCTCGAGGCAACGGCAGTGACTGGTGAAGGTGAAGTGAGGCTTGGGTATGATCTTGCTGTGCTACATGTAGTGGGCTCGCGTGCTCCTCTCTCGGCTTTCCTCTGCCCTCGGCTTCTCAAGTCCCGGTGAGCCCTCGAGGTGGCGCTGGCAGAAGCTGAGAGCACCGGAGTGCCCCGGCGAGGGAAGGGAAGCAGTTAGGCAGACAACTTCCTCGCTTCGCAAGGCCGGACTTCGTGGCCGAGTGCGGCAGCTCGAGGAGGATGGCGAAGTTTCGCCTCGTTGCTTCTGCATCGCTCCGGGCTCTGAACCATTTGGAGGAGATACTTCACCTCCGTCGCCGACAGCCAGCACAGCCAGCTTGGCTTGACGCTCAGAGAACTGGCAACAAGTTGGAGATAGTTTTTTTCATGGAAGGACGTCGTCTGAAGTGAAGATGCCGGAGCAGAAGCGATGTCCGGCTGCCTTCCAAGAGTTGGGAGGAAGTTTCTGTGTCCTCGTGGACTCGTGAAGCCTCATGCTTTTCAGGTGAAGTCGGATTCTGAGACTTCCTTATGCGAGATAGAGTCCGAGGACACCTTTGCAGAGGCCCAAACTACTCATCGGAGAGTTGGCAAGCTTGCAGACAGGCATGATCTCTCCATGGTTGGTTGCTCGGGCGGGGTGCGCCAGGCTGACCGGCAGGGGAAGAAAGATCGACCGAGATTGGAGGTTCCTCCACCCAAATTCTTGTTGCTGTTGTTGCGATGTCATCTGACAGCACCAATTGGTAACTGGCAGGTGCAAGAGAAAACACACTACAAAAGAATGAACCCAAATTCTTCCTCTTACTTTTGGGATGCTTGCTTTTCTTCTTGGTGCCAACTTTGACCATATCTCCGTCCTGCCACAAAAAGCTTCAGCCGAGGCATCGGTGCCCACAACTTGAACAAGACATGATCAGGTTATGAAAGGGACGGACAGGAAAGTGTCCGGGTGCAGGTCAGCCAGAGCAGGAATTCAACGCACGATCCAAGAAGGCTTCCAACCAGTTTGTTGTAGTTTCGAGCAGCTGTGCATTGGTCTGTGATACTTATGCATGCCCTCTCCTCGCTTTGAGGAGCCTCATATCGTCTTACCATGAGCAGCTCGATTCTGACTCGCTGCGATGCTCTCTCGGTGCTTTGCAGGTTGCGCAGCCTCCGCCACCGGCGGTCTTTACAGTGGCCGGAACCGCCCAGACGGACACAGAGTTCTACTTCTGCAAGGGCGTGGCACTCATCGCATGGGCTCTACTGCTGCCAGATGCTGTCAGTGCAGGCGATGACTTCCAAGCACCCGAAGAAATTAGCTTCGATCTACACAGCAACATCTTGCAGCGGGATGCTCAGTCGAGCGGTGCTCTTATGTATCACATGAACACGGGTCTTGCTGACTCAGGACTGTGCAGAGGCTTTACAAGATGCTCGGCAAGTACGAGCGGCCTTGCTGCACAGTATCTTGCTGATGTGCCGCACCCTCACAGCATTCCGCTGTGCGGACAGGTGGAATGCAAAGACGGGAAGCTTCCTGTACAGGAGTGCGCTGCAGCCATGGGCTTTGGTGGCTTGCTAGGCGGAGAGGATTCGGAGTATAGCTTCAGGGTTGTAGCAGTGGTTGTCATGGTCACACAGAACTCCTCTTTCAGATCCTGCAAAGGGCTTACGAACTATCACACCGACAGACCGTGGACAGTGTGTGCCGATGTCCTATGTACAACATGGATTTCGCGCCCCGTCAGGGTTGAGTGATCGCAGAAATTTGCTGTCAGTTCCGATACTTGTCCGACCACGTGTGGTTTCTGTGCAGGACGGATGGGAGTAGCTCCGACGAGGGTATGGAGGTGCGCTAGAATGGCTAGAGCTTTTGATGTCATATGCTTGTTCTGAACTTCTTCTCCTCTTCTTTGCGCCCTCCCGTTGCAGGGCCAGCGCCGTCCCTCCATGGGAAGATTGTCCCTGTGCAGATCTCAGCTATATGGCCATATACGGCCCAGAACTCCTCCCTTTTGCCCCCGCCGCCATCCTGAACAGAAGTTGTGAGGTTGGGCAACAATCGAAATGCGGCACCTCGGTTCTCACAGTCGGATTCAGTCTTCCAGAAATCGCTTTTGCCATGCTTCGGCTTTGAAGCCAAGGATATTCGCAGGCTGAAGGTGAAAGTGCAAGAAGCGCACCAGCAGGCCGCAGCAATCGCAATCGTAACGCACAGCCACCGCGGCCTTCTGCGATCCATGCGGAGTTTCTCTCTTTGAGGCCGCCGCGTCCCAGCTCAAGGAGCAGCTCGAGCGCCTTCGCCCCGCGGCCCGGGCCCAAGCGCAGAGAGAAGAGGGGAGAGGGGGGAGGGGGCAGTGTCGCCTCGTCTATCGTCGTCTCGGAGCCTCAGGTGAAGGGAAGCTTCGATGAATGGCTGGCTAAGCTACTGAAGGACGGGGAGGGGAAGTCGGCATGCTCGTGGCGTGGGGAACGACGGGCCGAGCGTCTGATGTAGCTGAAAGAGCAGGAGTCCGGCTCCGACAAGCTTCAAGCTGGACGGTGCGCCCTGATGCTCTTTCGATGACTTTGACTCCTCTGCTCTGATAGGCTGCCGGATCCAGACAAGCTTTACGATGCGGTCATCCCGTGCATGTTATACCTCCGGCAGTTGTGCGATGTTTTGCGCTACAGAGCACGCGCTGAAAAAAAACACTCCGCAGATATCAGCGAGCTTTCATCACTCCTCACAACTCGGCCCAAGCGTCAGCGGCGCTTATAGCGACTGGGTGCTTTCTTCGGGCCTTCGACGCATCGTGAGGGTGCCGGAGCTATGGCCGCTGACCTCCGGCAGCGTGCCGAACGCTTGAGGCTACAGGCCGCCGGCTATGCCAGTTTAACAGCGTGACAATCGAAGGGATCCTGAGACTTTTGAGATTTGCGCGAGGCAGCCGAGCTGGTTCTGAGGACCCGACGGCTTGACGGTAGATTGCGGCTGCAGACTTGCCAAAGCATCCGTGCAGGAAGATATTGAGCAGTGGATGCTTGTCTTCGAATTTGACAAGCCCTTGCCGTGTCTGCTTGGGAGTTCTCTGAGCAAGGCGACTCCGAGCCAGATCTTTGCGTGCTGGAAGCTGCGGTTCTGGAGGCTGGAGCGGGTGTGCTGACTCTTTCCTTTTCGCGCAATGCCCGCAATGTATGCGATCTGCATTCGAGCACGTGCCGCAGAGAAGCTTTGTCAGCTCATTTTGTCTGAAGTAGCTGTTGGCATGAGCGGTAAGAGGTTCTGATGAGAATGCTGCGAAAAAGTGTGTCGATGGAGAGGGAGTGTTGCATTGAAGCGCATCAATATGTTGCCCTGGGCTATAAGAGGCAATCTGAAATGTCAGTACTGTGACGTGGGGAGTGCGAGGTGGTGGGGTTGGTGGAGGCCCCGTCCCGTTCACATTAGTTTTATGAGCCAGCAAGCTACTCTGCTTCAGCTTCATCTTGCTTGCGGGGGAAGGGAAGGCTTGCAGCAAGGAATGCCTGATCCCTGCACACACGATGCGCAGAGGCCGCCGTCAGACATGCCCCGGGCCGACTGCTTTGCATGGTTTGTAAAGTCAATCATGAGGCAAGGCGAGGTCCAGTGTCCAGTCGTTTGCGTGGATGTTGATTTCACAAATTTCGCCAATGCATGTAGGGCAAAGTGGGATTTACGGCCTTTGGCTTCGTCAAATTGCTTTGAAACCGTGTATGCATTGCAGGCCCGGCAACTTCCAGGCCAGGCTCGGGGGCAAGATTTGGGGGCGGGAGGTTTGTTGGCAGTGTCGCGTGAGGGCCTCAGACGTTTTCAGGCATGAATGCCGAGCTGCTCTCAGCCGCCGAAGCAAAGCTGGAGGAGGCCCAGAACATGCAGCAGCTGGAAGAGAAGCCCGATGTGCTGCTGGAGCGTCTCTTCGACGCTGTGAACGATGGCGACTTGCCCGTAGCCACACGCTGCTTGGACGCCAATGCGGGAACGTCTGCACAGCTGTCCATAGACGTCACGGACCACGACGGGAATACGCCTCTCTCTGAAGCCGCATGCTACGGAGAGGTTGAGCTGGCAAAGTTCTTTCTGTCCAGAGGAGCGCACCCAGACTCTCGGAACGATCTGGGCCGCACCCCGCTCTGGAGAGCATGCTACAATGGGCATGCTGAGATCGTCCAACTCCTGCTGCAAAGTGGAGCTGACAAGTCCATCCCGAACAATCTGGGAGAGGAACCTGTGAAGTGACTGGACCACATGCTTGCACGGCGTTGAGTTTTGTAGAGTCTTCGTTGAGCGGTTCCGGACGATGTTCCAAGAGGGGCCCCCCCGTTGCAGGCATGGCACGGCCGCGACGAAGTCCTTGATCGAGTCCTGGGATCCGCTTGAAACCGTGAGGCGAAAGGAGGCTCTCAGCCTGGGCCCTTGGCAGAAAGCAAAAAAAGCAGCAGCCACGGCTTTGCCTCTTGCAGAGCGGATGGCAAGCCCGCAGGGGCCTCGAGATGTTGAGATGTAAATCCTTCCAGAGTTTTAGGGCTTACAGTATAGGGCATTTTTCTGTGTGTATGTTGAGGGCAGTTGCAACGGTGATCCGTCTGCGCCTGGGCCTAGGCTAGAGGAGATGATCCAAAGTGGAGAGGTGACCTGGCCTGTGAAGATTGGCTTGAAGGAGCTGCAGCTTGCATTGATCGCCGCCCACGACTCCGGCAAGGTGCAACTTCACTCCAGAGAGCAGCGTGCACTCTACGGCGCTTGCCTGTCACTGACAGGTTCCGTTGGTGATAGCAAACGGGCTGGAGCAGGTGGAGCAGTTTCTGCTTTACTCCTGCGATGGCTTGATTGACGGGAAGCAGCTGATCTTCGAAGTCTTCATTAAGCAAAGCGCTACGCTTGACGAAGCCCGGGAGCGGCTGAAGGAATCCCTTCTGCATCCCGTCTCGCCTTAGACAAGACACGATGCATGGCCACCATACACCGCCTTGCACATTCATTCTTGCTGCAGCAAGCACCAGAGGTCCACGATGGAGACTCACGGATCCGGCCTCTCACTGCACGTGCGCCTGGGGGACTCGGCCTGCGATTTCACCAGCTTCTGTGCGCCAAACCTCTTTCCGGCGGAAGTCTTCGGTGGACCGGCGAGGTGGAACGACGAAGAAGCGCGGAGCTTTGCCGTTTGCCGTGCGAAGGAGGCAGAGAGCTTTGCAGAGCTTTTCAGGTGCACCGCCACTTCCCGGATCCGATGGTCTGTCTCCAGCCGGAGTTCCGCTTGGAGCCTGTCTCAGAAGGATCCGGGGTCTGTTTAAAGCACAGTCGCTCGATTCCAAAGTCCTTGAGGTCGTGAGCTCTCGCTTTACCATCAATGAAGCCCACGAGCACCTGGCGGACAAGCTTCCCTTTTTCCAGGATGCAGCCTGTCGCATGCTCGACTTCTGGCAGTTCTCTGAGAAGTGCCTGGCATCCAGGACATGGCCATCATCGAAGTCGACCCTGACTCTGTGGCGTGAGAGCGTTTGAAGCCTGCACAAAGCTTGCAGAGCAAAGCCTTTCATTCCTTTTCCACAGATGCCCCCCCTTGCCCTTGGTATGTCTGTGTGTCACAGCCGGCCGACTAATGCACTTGTCGTGGAGAGACACTAAGCCACTCAGCTTCTTCTTCGCCTGCGTTGCTGGCAGGTCATGGAAGTCACACAAGGCGAAGGCAGCGTGCCTTAAGTCCCAAAGCCATTTGCCGAGAAGTGAGTTGCGAGTTTGGGAGGCCTGCGACGGCGTGTAAAGGAACTGGAGGACCTTGGTGTTCTTTTGAAGCCGAACGTGCCTGACGAGTGGAGTTTGCAAGGACAGCTTGAATCGATTGATCCCGGTTGCGGATCGCCTGCGACAGAACGAAGGACGCCGCAACTTGAGGATTTGGATCTAGGAGTTCTGGAGCCTTGAGCTCAAAATTGGGCCGCTTATCCTCACAGGAGACGGAAGCTTCTGGAAGAGGGTCATGCGATCCGTGAAGCACAGCATGACGGCGAGACGAGGCCGGGCCGGTCCCTGGAGGAGTGGGAGACTCGGAGTATCTCGGTTTGTCCTCTGATTGGAGGATCCTCTGCCATGAGAGCTGAAGCAGTTCAGCGCCTGCGGAGTCCTTGGATAAAAGGGCAAAGCGTAGCGCCGCGATGATGCTGAGTATGCCGAGGAATTCAGGCGCAAAGCTGAGCCAGATCAACACACTGGCCAGGTTGCATGGCCTGCAGCTCAGCATGGCTCAGCATGAGCCTGAGCGAAGACAGCCAAGAAAGTGAAGCCATGCGAAGCCCACAGGGGAACTGGCCCTGATCTGGCAGATGATGCCGCCAAAGCCGCAGAAGCTGGTGCCGTGCCGAGATACTGCAGAGGGGTGGGAGAGTGTGGGAAAAGATGCCAGGCTGCTGGGACGTTGCTCCTTCGGCCCCTAGCACCACAGGCCATGGCAGCTCTGATGCTTAGATGCGATCGCACGATTCTGCCTGCAGTGCAGTCTCCAGGTACTTCAGGAAGCCGTGAGGAACTACTACTTGAAGTCCTGCAACAGGCACAAGCAGGCGCAGAGTTGCAGCTGTCTTCTTCTGGCTTTCTTGCTCTTGCCCATCGTGTTCTTGAGCTCTCTTGGGTTTCTTCACTTCTGGAGAGCACTTCCAGAACAAATCAACCAAAAAGGGCATCGAACGGCGGACGTGGGGTGAGCGAGAGCTAGTGCAGAGGACAGGACAACAGTTTGCCCCAAGGACATGTTAGATGTGGATCAACATATATCAACATGCCACGGTTTCGTCTCCGGCTTGAGAGACCTTGAGTCGGAGCGATGCGCCACGAGAACCGCGAAGCAAAAGCGACTGAAGACCTCCAGGTTAGACGCCAGAAACTGGCTGCAGTTGGGATCCGGCTTTGTGCAACTGAACATCACGGCATGGAAACTCTTTGGGCTAAATCTCAGAGCTGCCAAAGGGCTACAAAGAGTGTGACGCGGAGAGTGTGAGGTGGAGCAAGCCGTCTTCAACCTCTGCCGAGCGGCATCTGAGCTGGTTATACGGATGTTTTTCACTGCTCTTGTTTCAACCGGCTGGCGACTGTTGACCCCCGTGTGCGGTCCACGGTCAGATTGGCAGGTGTTGCAGTTCGCGGCAAGCTACAAAGCTGCAGCCTTGGGAATCCTTGTCGGCAAGACAGGCTTTCTTTGTGCAATGTTCATTGACGCGATGTGAGGTGCTGCTCTTTGCAGTCATGTGCCCGGCGCACAGCCTCGATGCACGAAGTTAGTAGCTTTGCAGAGTTTGGAGTTTGATGTTCGAGGCGATGTTCTCCAACCCACAGAACTGGGTGGCCGCCTTCCCATTGTTGGATTCTAAGCTGGTTGCTTTGGTGTCGCAGCTCGTGGGTCCCTTAGCTTGGTGTCTGAAGGTTGCTCCAGAGGCTCGATCCTACCTCCCTAGCCGTGGCCTTACTTCCTAAATGCCCTCGAAGCATCCCTGGCTCCGAGACCCGCAGCGCTAGACCGGAAGACCCCTTCAGACTTGAACGTAGCGGCGATCCTGTGATGCTGCATCTGCGGCATGAGCAAGTTGTCGTCTTCCACCAAGAGGAAGGGTTTTCGGCCAATCGCAGGGCCGTGCGAGCGAGAGCCATCAGTCTTTGGGTGGCGGCACCCGACGCGATCGCACACTAGCAACCGTACAAGACAGCAACTCTGCCGCACAGCCCGGCAAAACCAGCAATCTTTTGCACGAAGGTATCGGGATTAGTATGGAGCAGCTTTGCTCAAGACGGGGAGAGCCAGAAATATCACAAGCAGATCTTCAAGGCAGCTTGCTGCCAAGCAGTCCTGCCCGACACCCATATGTGCCCTTGCACAACTGTGAAGTTTTGGCATATGTTGGCTTAGGACTTGGCATATGAGACGCATCCGCTGCTGCCCCCTTTTCCTCTCGCCTTAGTGGGCCCACTGAGCTGTATCCTTTTGCGATGGCAGCAAAAAGAGCGTGCGCGCTATCGCTTTGAGCAGACCTTGCTAAGTTGGCACCGGAGCCTGCTCCTTTGGGCAGCCCTCTACCACCTGGCGGACCTCCTCATGCCGAGCATCCCGGAGATCTTCAAGATGAACTCTGGTGAACCGGACGACGAGGCTGCAGCAGAGCCCTGTGAGGACGCGGAGAACTTAAGCCTCGAGGAGACGGACCACCAGGTCGAGACCGAGGACAGCCCGACGCGAGCCCAGGGACCTCAACTGAATGTCTGGAGGTGCCTCCGATGTGACAGCAGCCGGTGGACAAGGAACCTGTACGGGACTTACCTTTGTATGTCGTGCGAGGGCACTGAGTTTTATTCGTGCCGCCAGCCCCACCGAAGAGTCACAGAGGATGGCGTCTGGATGTTTATGCCGCGGCCTGCTGCGGCCCCTGCCGCCCCTGACCAGGATGATGAGGACAGCCCGCCGGGACCACCCAAGGCGCTCTCCAGACGGCAGAGGCGACGACAGCGTCAAGAGCAGCAGAAAGCCGGCGGACCTCCAGGACCTCCAAGCGAGCCCGACACCCACAGCGAGAACCCCGAGTCCGAGACCTTGACCTTTGACCCGACGGTGGAGCCCGAGCCGGTGGAGCCACCAGCGGCGAGGACTACTACCAGGACTTCTCTGAAGAAGACTTCGTGCCCTGCCTCTCCGCCTTCCTCTTTCGGACCTACCGGAACGGCACGACCGACGGCACCACCAATGGTATCTTCAGCTGGACCGCCCTTTGCCAAGACCACCGCCTTCCCCAACGACAGTTGCACCTGGAGTCCTCGAGCTCTACCACGTGGAAGTCCAAGATGGGGCCGGAGAAGCGGGTGAGATGGCGCGGGGGAACCCCCCCGCAGCCACCTACTTGGCGATATGATCATCAAGATCCTCGGGCCTACTCTCCGGGATAGACTTCATATTGGAGACCCTTCGCACGCCAATGGAACAAAAGCTTGTGTTTCAAAAACGCAAGTTTCTCAACGAGTACGAGAACATCCAGCGGCAGCCGAATGAAGCTCTTCGGGCCTACTCGAACCGCTATAGGCGTGCCGAAAGGAACCTGCGCGCCGTCGGCATAGAGGTGGCCCAGATGTACGATGACGACAGCCGCGGCAACCGCCTCCTCGACCGTGCTCGTTTGTCTCCTGCCGACCAACGGCTCATCTTGGTCGGGAGCCGCTACAGCCTCGGCTTTGAGCAGATAGCGGAGTCGATGCATATGCAGTACCCTGAGTTCAAGGCGGCCCCGGCGATCTTTGGCAGAGACGGCCAGCCTTTGAGCCGCAAGGGCGACGGGAAGGGCAAGGATGGCGCAGCGGCGCACCCAGCGCCATGGCAGAGCAGCCGCCCACCCAAGGGTGGACACGGCGGCAAAGGAGGCGCACCTCGGCGCGTTTACCTCACCGAGCAGGCCGAGGAGAACGTGCTTGACGACATCCCCGAGGAGGAGCCGGCCGACGCGGAGCAGCCGGAGGACCAGGACGAAGACGACGCCGTGACCGAGGATGCCCCCCCGGACGAGCCCGAGATCGATGCTATTGCCCAGGCCGCGGAGGTGCTTACGGTCACGGCCAAGAAGCTGAGCAGCATGAAGCTCGGCCGGAAATTTTCCAGTCAGCCCAATAAGGATGTGGCCGCGCAGAAGCGCAACACTCACTGCGCCGTGTGTGGGCAGCTGGGCCACTGGAAGGGCGATCCAGAATGTCCTGGGCCACCTTCGCCAGGACAGGGCGGCTCGCCAAAGCCGAGCGGCTCAGGAAGCCGGCCGGGCAGCTCAAACCCAAGTTCTCCGAAGCCCGGCCGCCCAGACAATCGAGAGCGACGCGGTCCCCACCAGGCCTTCTACATGCGTGACTTCGGCTCGCTCGAGGTGACGGACGCCGACCTCCCGGAGGAGTGCCAGAGGACCTCTGTGGCCTGGACTGGGCCAAAGAGCACACCGAGCGGCTGCTAGAGTTTGGTTTGAAGCCTCGCACCATAGCGTGTGCCGATGCTTTTCAGTTCGGTGCCGGCCGGCCGATTACCGCCCGGACCCGCGCCTACTTCCCCATGGGACTTGGAGGAGCTGACCTCCTGATCGCAGCCGGCACCCTCGATGCCAAAATCCCTCTGCTTGCTTCCAATAGGCTTCTTGATGCTCTGGGGATGGTTCTAGACATGCCGAACAGCAGCGTGACCTTCACCAGCTTGTGTGTGACAGTGCCTTTGCTTAGGGTTCGCGGTCACCTCGTTGTGAACATTGTGCAGTTTTCTGAGTGCAGCCAGGGCAGCCACAGCTGGAGAGCTTTGCAAGACAGCGTTGATTGGAACGATCCTCCGCCCGAGCTTGTGGTTCAAGGAGTTCAAGGAGATCTAGGTGCCGCTCTTTCTCCGGCGCCTCTCGCTGCACATGCCTGGCCTCACGGGCCAGCTGGCGACTCCACCGCAATGGTTGCGCAAGTGGCGGCGGTTCGTGAGGGCCCTCCCCGACTTCAAGAAGAACTTCTTCGTGACCCTCACCACGGCCGTTCGCCTCGGCATGATCCCGGACACCGTCTACGAGGCGGTCCCGCCAGAGCTGGACACACGGTTCGCACATCCGGCCGGGACGTGCCCACACCCGGACTATGTCCGGTACGGAAACGCGTACGGGAGGTTCGCCCGCTGCAAGCAGTGCCTGAAGAGGTGGAGGTGGAATCAAGATGCCCGTCTTTGGGAAGAACACCCCGACAAGGCCTTCGACTGCAAGCTGCTCGATTCGCGGCCGCCCTTGCCATCTTCATCCAATACTGTGCCTCGGGCTTCAACGGCGGCAACATCGAGCCTGTCCCGGCCTACCAGGACGGCTTCCCTCTCGGCGGCCACCCCCAAGAGGGGCGTTCTACACGCCGGGCACGGCAGAGCAGCGGCAGCGAGATGGAGGTCGACCCCTGGCGACTCATCCACGAGGAGTCGGACTACAACTGGGAAGAAGTCGAAGAGTGAAGGGCGACTGGAAGAGGTCGGCCAAAATTTTGGAGCGCGAGGTCGGGATGTACAACAACCAGCCAAGCGCTCAGGAGCGTGCGCCGCACACCGTGGACATACTCGTGTTCTACCCCGACCGCTTCGACATCCAGACCGCCGCGGCCGAGCTCGAGATGTCCACTCGGGAGCGTCTTCCTGGCGGCCTTCCTGCACGACAACACGCACAACGAGCACTACGGCGGCTTCGAGCACACGTCCTCTACCTCTCCTTCCTGGACCGCGCCTTCGGCACCCAGGAATGCGACTTGGCCGCGGACTTTCTCAAGGAGCAGACGGCTGCAGGCCGAGCCGTCGTGATGTTAGGCCCGGCCGGCCCTGAAATGAGAACCCTTGGGCAGCAACATGGGGTGAATACCTGCGATTTGGCGCCCGGCCCTGGCAGCACGACTTTGCTTACAACCGTGCCGGGGGCGACTTCATGCTTTTCTTCGGCATCCCGGCGCGACCTTGACGATGGGAACCTTCTCGACCCCCTCCTCGGCATGATCTGGAACTACGTGCGCAGCCGCGACCCAGGCCGCTTCGGTATCTACCAGGCCTTCGTGACCTACGCTGGCTAGATCCTTTGGAGCACCCGGCACCAGACCTTTTTATATCGACCCGGGCAGCGAGCTTGGCCGCAAGGTGGCAGACCTTTTTCGCATTAAGCTTGAGAGGGCGCAGGCCGTGCAAACACCTTCTCAGAGGCGGCTTCCTCAGGACGTGCCGTTCACGGCCTGCGGCGCCTTCCTGGTACACAACGACGGCACCAAGACCATCGAGTTGGAGGACCTGAGCCTCGTGCACCAGCCCAAGCAGCGCTTTGCCAAGCCCGTTCGTTATGGTCTGCTTGTGTATGGGCACCTGATACCTGAGGAAGAGTCGCAAAAGACGGCCGAGCCGGGAGTCCCGATCTCTGGCCTGCCGACCGATGTTTCTTTTCCCGGCCTCTCGAACCGCAGGTGCCGGTGGAAGTTCGGCGATCTATCGCGAGAGCCCATATCAACATGGGGCACCCCACGGCCGAGGAGCTGATTCGGATGGCCAACGCGGCAGGCACACCGAGCTCAATGTTCATCGAGGCGATCCGCAAGCTCGAGTGCGCTACCTGCTCTCGGCTGAAAGGACCCCAAGCACCACGACCCGCAGCTTCAACGATAACGGCCACTCAGTTCGGCGACCGGGTTGAGGTGGACGTCTTCTACCTACGGGACCTCCAAGGTAGAAGCTGCATGGTGCTTGGTGCCGTGGACTCTGCAACTCGGTTCCACCAGGCCGTCGTTCTCAAGAGCCGGGACCCAGAGGATGCATACGAAGCGCTGGAGGCAATGTGGCTCCGGCCTTTTGGGCTGATGGTGCAGATTGGCCTGGACCCCGACACCACCTTCCAGGGCGCCTTTCAGGAACGACTTCGCTCCCACGGCGTCATGGTCGACTACTGTCCGGCCGAAGCACATTGGCAGATTGGGCAGGTGGAACGCCAGAACGCTTTCCTTCGGACCGTGCTTGAGAAACTCGTGGACACCTTTGCCGCCACCGGCGTCGAAGACATCCGTCTTCTACTTGCGCCAGCCCTCCACGCGGTGAACAGCATGACCCTCAGCCGCGGGAGGTCAGCCTTTCAGGCAGTGTTTGGGCGAGTGCCCCGGCTTCCAGGCGGAATCTTCACTGACTACAACAGTCTTGCTACGACGCCAACGGATGACCCGGCGGCCACTGCCGAAATAATTCGATCAGAAGCTCTGAAAACTATATGTGATATGAATGTGCGACAAAGTTTTCGACGAGCTCTGTTGCGCAAGACGCACAACACCAAGGTGCCACAGCTCCAGCCAGGACAAGCCTGCTCCTATTGGCGCTGGCGCAAGCGGGGGCTGAAGAAAAGAGGAGGTTGGATCACGGCGCGATTCCTTTCGTGGGATCCTGCCGCCCCCACCAAGATGGCTTGGGTCCGATCTGGCACGACCACGGCCCTGGTCGCAGTGGAACAGCTGAGGGCGGCCACCGGCTTCGAGGCGTGGCTTCCGACAGAGCCAGACGTGGCCGCGCTGAAAGACGCGTCCCAGAAGCTTGACCAAAGCTTGTGGGCGGATGAGTCAGGGCCACCTCCTCCGGCACGAGACCAGCTGGGCATGGAGGCGGACTTCGAGCAGGACGTTCCCATGATAGATGGGGACCGGGAGCTGACGGCAGCACTGGCCTTGGCTCCGACACCACCGGCGGCCCCGGCAACCTTACCTACGACCCCTTCGGCACCACTACAGCCACAGACCAACGTACGGGTGGAGATGCACGACCAGAGCTTCAACCGCTCCGACACTTTGGTGTACCAGCCCACGGTGCAGAACACCTTTGTTCGGAACACGGCCAGGCTTGGAGAGCCCAGCCAGGGCTTGAGACGCGGGACGTCTTTGCCACGAACACCGCGGGGAACGTCTGCACCAAGGACGCCTGGCACCCCGAGAACACGAAGGAGCCGTTCTCCCGCACCAAGCGCCGCCATGGGCAACACAGAACGCCCACCAGAACCACGACAGCTACCTCAAGAACTTCCAGAACCTCCTGTACCACCTGTTCCCGTACCCCAGGCAGAACCTGCGACAGAACCGCCAGAACCACAACAGCTACCAGAAGAACTTCCAGAACCTCCTGTACCTCCTGTTCCCGTGACGCCACTCGAGATGGGCTGGGACTCTGCGCCCTTTGAGTCTGCGGGGTACGAAACAGACTTTGAACCTGAAGTGCCGCTACCAGAGCAGTCGGGAGGACTACAGCAACCTGCCGGAGCACCACTTCAAGACTCCGAGCCGCAGGCACTCTCAAGCGCGTCCCAAGCCGCAGCAGGGAGCGCTCGTGGCTCGACCGACAGGCCACCCACGACACCGGTGACCAGTGGACCTTCGACCCCTAGCGTGGATCCGCCAGGGTTGCTACCTGCCAAGAGGACCTTTGACGCGCTCACCACGCTCTTCTTCGACGAGGACGTCTTTTACCGCCGTGTTCCAGGGGACGAACGGGCTGAAGGACACGGACCTAGGCCCAGCCGGGCCTACGAGGCCTACTTGAACTCAGAGCACAGGACCGACGACCTCCACAACGACGGCAAGGACCCTCGGGAGAGCGACACTAGCGACACAGATTGGGAGGACCAGCCGCCCGGGAAGAAGCATCAAGGGATGACTCGTGCGGAAGCCAAGGCCCTCGATCGAGAGATCCCTTGGCGCAAGATCCTCGAGCTCGACCAGCCCGACATCCAGGCCTATATCAAGGCAGTGGAGAAGGAAGCTAAAAGCTGGGGAAGAATGGGGTTCGGTCAAGGCCCTCTCCCATCAGGAGGCCCACCGGATACTTCGTGACCGTATCCTGAGCAAGCGCGTCCTCCGAACCCGGAGCTGCTTCCGGGACAAGAGCAAAGGACTTGGTGAGCTTCGCGCCAAGTGCCGTGTGGTGGCGCTCGGGCACAAGGACCCGGACATCTACAAACTCAACCGTGAATGCGTTACGCCGAACCGGGAACACGTTCTGTTCATCATCCTCGTGTCCGGCAGCAACGGCGAGTTCGGCGAGAACAAGAAACGATGGTCCGGATGGTCCGGAGATGCCTCCACGGCCTTCCTCCAGGGAGACATCTCTTCGAGTGAAAGAGAGATGCCGCTCTACCTGCTCCCTCCTTCGGACGGAGTCACCGAGCTCACCTCGTGCTGGAAGGCACCGCTTTACCTTGTGTGCACCAACGTCTACAGCTTGAGCAACGCGCCCCGGTTATGGTCACTTACGGTGATCAAGAGACTCTGCGACCTCGGCTACCGCCAGCACTCGTTCGACAAGATGGTCTTTGTTAAGTTTGATGCAGCGGACCAGCTGGTCTCCATCATCATTGTGTACGTGGACGACTTCCTCGGCGCCTACCGCTCCGACTACAACGTCGACGAGGTGCACCAGGCTTTCAAGTGGGGCTCCCTGGAAACCTTTCGGCCAGGCCAGGCGGTGACCTTCAAGGGCAAGCAGATTACCCTACGCCAACGGGCCAACGGCCGATGCTACCTCCACGTGTGCCAGAAGGAGTTCATTGAGGGCATGACTTCCGGCAAGATCCCTCGAAGCGCCGATCCTGACGCTGTCTTATCTACCGAGCAGCGAGCTGAGTTTCGCAGCGTCACTGGCTGCTTGCAGTGGATCTCCGGACAAAGCCGCCCCGAGATCTCCGCGGTCAACAGCTTATCGAACCACGGAGGCCAGACCACGCTCAACGACCTTCGCTCCCTCTACCAAGCGGTCGACTTCGCGAAGGCCACTCAAGAAAACGGCTTTGTGATCCCCGACATCCCCGTCAACAAGGCCAGCGTGGTTTTGAGCTTCAGTGACGCAAGCTGGGCCAACGCGAGCACTGCAGATCACAGTGCGGCGTTCTTGTTTTGCTTTGCGGGCCTACTGTTTTGCAGCGGCCAGCACCTGCTATGCTCCTGGACTGGCGTTCCTGCAGGTCGACGCGGGTCTGCCGATCTACCCTGGCAGCCGAGGCCTCGGCATCAGACGAAGGATGCGATCGGGCGGCCTACGTGAACTTGTTCCTCAGCGAGCTTTTGTACAACGAGCCGGCACACCGGGTGACTTCTAAGCTTTGCCAGCTCGCCGTGACGGACGCCAAGTCCCTTTACGACTGTGTCGTTTCGGACAGCCCCAACCTTAGCGACAAAAGGTCGCTCGTGAACATAAGGGCTATCCAGGAGGTGGTGCCTGGGGAATTTTTCCACTGGGTTCCGACGGACCTTATGTGGGCCGATGGCTTGACAAAGCATAGCAGGGAGCTACAACAGTCGCTCCATGACTGGCTCCAGCAGCCGCGGGTGACTTTGCGTAAGGTCTCATAGCCAACAAAAGACTATAACCGGTGTGAAGTTTTGGCATATGTTGGCTTAGGACTTGGCATATGAGACGCATCCGCTGCTGCCCCCTTTTCCTCTCGCCTTAGTGGGCCCACTGAGCTGTATCCTTTTGCGATGGCAGCAAAAAGAGCGTGCGCGCTATCGCTTTGAGCAGACCTTGCTAAGAACAACAAACCACTGGATTGTGTCCGAAGACTTGCAGTTTTCCCGACTTTTGCACACCCTTCTATGTGATTCTTGTTTTGCTTGCAAGTTTTTGCCACACATGGGCCCGTGAGGCCTAGAAGTGTCGAGTTTGGCCAACCTTCCTTTCGATGCTACTCGGCCGCATTGGCTGTTGCATGCTCCAGAGATCTGCTTCTCAGTAGCGCTCCGGTCTTCCAGGCCGTGCACACCATGAATGAGTTCATGACAGCCTTGAAGAACATGAGACGGTCAAGGATCCATCCTCCAATTCATGCCGCTTTTGATTTTTCTGCTTCCATCAGCAGTGCCTCGTTTGTAGCTTGCTTCGTGCTTCTCGGCCGATCCAACTGCCGACCTGCAAGATCGTCATCTGAAGCAGGCACTGGCTATCCTGTCCTAACACTTCTTCCGTACGGGTCAGCCGGATACTGTGATGCGCTGTCTTCATTCTTGCACCCTCGCAGGATTTTCTGGACACCTCCTTGCCACTCTAACCTTGTCCATGCGAATAGCAGAACAGCATGAGCAAGCAAGCAGTCTCGTAGTTGCGACATTGCACCACTCCAGGACATTTCATGGAGCCGGAGATGGTAGCTTCGAGCGCGTCTGCAAGGATGGTGGAGGCGATGCAGGCGCTTGTGGGTGAGCAGCCATTGTCAGGGAACTAATGGCGATTTGCCGCGGAGTTGGTGTTGACGAGCGATTGTATTGTGAGGCCCCGAAGTGGAACGAGAAGATGTACTATTGCCGCTCCCGCCTTTGCCTCAAACCCGAAGCTGACTTAAGTTTTCCGACGTGTTGACAGACTCATTGTTCAGGCTGGTCTTAGCTGCGGGGGAGATCGTGTGTGGCCGGAGCAAGGCATTGCCCGAGACGTCTAGCTATGATTCCATCACTTTGATTCGCTCTGCCCAGTTGACGGCCGAGTACTTCAATGTCATGCTCATGGGATACTCCAGGACCGCAAGCGGCCGCGAGCGTGGTTTTCGGTTTCGTCGCATCTGCTCGCATCGAGTGACTTGAAGGCAGCCTCGACTGCTGCCACGTCTTCAGGAGGTTCGCCGACTCTGCTTGTGCTGTCTGAGTAAGACAAGCTGTGGTTGTGGCAGGAAGCTGAGCCTTCACCTTCCGAGAGCCCGGTCGAGGCGAGCCGCTTCGCCGCCTGACGCATCCGCCTGTGTCCGCCTCTTTCCGCAGGGCTCTTCCGAACTCCGCTCCGCGTCGAGGCGCCGGTTCGAGGGATCGGAGTTTTTCTCGCAGCCGCTGCGGGCGCAGGAACTCCGAGTCCAGCCTCGCTTCCTCCGAAACAGGACGAGAAGCGAGCCGCCACGCAGGAATGGTGAAGCGTTTTGTTGTTTCTTGCAGGAGAGGAGTCCGATTCGAAAGTTCCGACGAAGGTGGAAGCACGATTACATCCATTGCCACACAGGCGAGCATCTCGCTTCTGCGAGGCTTTGCTGGTCTCACACCTCCTGGCTGCAGACCGAATGCGCCGACATCCGGAGATGTGGGAGGCTCTTAGCCCGTTGCCTGTTATTTTTGTCTGTGGCTTTGCGCCTTGCGCTTCTGGCTGCAGGAGACGGACTACTTTGTCGACAGCCTTTGGGAAGCCGTCATGAAACGAGTCAACCCGACGAAGGCGCGAGCGATTTCCGCCGGAGCGCCGTTGGAGCCTTGGAGAGTGAGTAGAGGTCTCCCACTTCTCCGTGCTTTCCAGTCGAGTGCTGAGCCCGCAGAAACCTGGAGCATCCTGGAGCACTGGAGCATCCAGTATTGCTGCGAAAAGCCGCCCACCGAGATCGTGTTGAAATCGCCGAAGCGACGGTGGCAGCGCAGGCCAGGCTGTGTGACAGCGAAGGTCATGCTTTTTGCACTGCGTTCAGAGGTCACCATCGAGCGCTTCCGCCTGCAGGTTGGTGCCTGCTTGGGCCATGTCCATGTAAGGGAACCGGCTCGAGTTCACTTGTTTCTGCTGCAGCGTGCTGTTCCTGTGTAAAGAAGCGCAAACAAGGTCGAAGAGTTTAGGTGCGTTTAGTCGTGTTTGGTGCACGGAAGACTAGGAACATGCTCGAGTTCGTTTCTGCTCCAGGCTCTTTTTCCATCGTTTGAATAGAAACAAGCTCAAACCAGGAACATGTGAGGCAGCCGGCTCGAGTTCGCGTTTCTGCTGCAGCGCACTTTTCCCGTGCAAACAAGCTCAAACCCGGAACATGTGAGGCAGCCGGCTCGAGTTCACGCGTTTCTCCACAGCGCACTTGAGATTCTCCAGTGAAAACAAGCGCAGTTCAGGCTTTTTGGCTGCAGCGCGCTTTTCCCGCGTAAATCACCTGAAGAAAGGAACATTTCACGCGTTTTTGCTGCAGCACACTCGTGTAAATAAGCGCAGACCAGGAACATCCAGGAACATGTTCGAGTTCAGATGTTTCTGCTGCAGCGCACCTTTCCCATGTAAACAAGATCAAGGCAGGCGCCACCACCCTCACCCTGACTCATTGAATAGTGCACAGCATCCATCATAGACAATGCCGCGAGCTCATAGGAGACACCCGGAGGAGGTTTTCCTTTCAACCTCCGATGCGGTCCTTCACGTCGATTCCCCGAGCTAAGCGACAGAGCCACTTGCCCGGAGGTTCCGGAGGCTTTGGTCGCCTCAGCGCTAAAAGAGGTACAGCCAGGTGGTGCTCCTTTCGCCTCTCGCCTGCATTTTGAGTTCAGAATCAGAAGTTGGGATCGTGATGTGCTGCAGTGGCCATTGTAGCTCTCCGCGGCAAGGACTCCGAAAGGCGCAAGAAGGAGGGCTATGTTCCCGACTCGGGGGTGCTCGAGACTAACAGCAAGCTTGCAGCTCTGTTGTTGGCTTCGTGTTTTTGCATCTGCAGGTGACCAAGGAAGCTGTGGAGGTTATCATGCATCTCTGGCGCCAGTGTGGTGGCACCCTTGCTTTTTGGGGGGCATTTCCATCCTTTTACGGCTGTCACTGGGCCACCGCAGGGTTTTGCAGGTGGTGCTGCAAGCGTGTGTTGCACGGAGAGCCACGTCCCGGACCTGGTGCGGGTGAGCTCATGAGGTTGCACTGCTTGCGGCGAGTCTGCTGCCAAGGCTCTCTGGGCAGTTCTGTGGGCCTTGGCACTCGAGCGTGGATATGAAGTGCAGCTGATGGGCCGTGGGCCCAGAGGAGACTGTTGGAGCCCCGTGGCCAAGACTGCAGCTCGCGTTATTCAAGTTCCCAGCAAATCTACAAGACTCCCCAAAAACCCTAAACAGAGCTTGCCCTGCCTGGGGACAAAAGCAAGAAACAAGCAACACTCCGCCCCCAAGCACACTCGAAAGCATCAGCCCGCCAGGCCGATTCTTCGACATCTTCGACGAATCCGGCGATGGCTCACTCCAGTCTCTCGTCTCTGACAACGGGCCCAGATCACTTCCAGATGATGATTTCCATGAGCACTTAGATACAGATGTACGTATGTATGTATGTATGTATGTATGTATGTATGTATGTATGTATGTATATATGTATGTATGTATGTATGTATGTATGTAGTATACATACATACATACCTACCTGCATGCATGCATGCATGAATGCATGCATGCAAGACATACATACATACATACATACATACATACATACATACATACCTGTACACGCATACGTACATACATACGCACCCTCCCTCCTCCCTCCCTCCCTCCCTTCCTCCCTCCCTCAATTGGTACTCATCCAGAGTGGGAGAGTTTGAGGTACGATGAGTTCGTCAATTTCATGGCGCACATAGCACCTGCAGTCCCCGAGGCATTTCTTGTTTTGACTTCGATTATTCAGTTGGTCTAGCACGGTTTTTTGGGTGGGATGCTGCGGCTAGTTCGCAGGCAGATTGTGCTTCCTTCTTCATGGCCGTGGCAGAGGACACCTCAGCTGACATGACGCAGGAGGTGCCACGAGTTCATGGCATGACTTCTGTAGCAGCCTTGGTAGCATGAGAGGTGTTCATCAACTTGGTTCAGCGGGTCGGCGTCTCCTCTGACCTGGTCCTCTTCTCAGCCGCCTTGACACAAGATGTCCTGTCTTTCTGATGCTGCGGCCTAGGATGGACTTAAGAGCTTGGTGGAGGCTCGAGCAAAGGCAGATCAGGGAAGTTGTGACTGGAGCCGGGTAACCCGTATAGCATTATGTTGAAGCGCAGGCTTGACAAGTGCTGCTGGTGGTGATGGGCGAGAGAAAGGCAATGCTGCGGGCACTGCTGGCCAGAGCCAGCACATGCAGTAAACGACATCAAGAAAGGTTCATTTATGGGAAAATTAGATTCTGAGAAGAACTCAGAAGCAGGGCTCAGCCTACGTCTAAGGCGTGGCCTGACATGTACATACGCTTCGAGCAGACCAACATGGTCTCTCATTATTTGGGTTCACATATCCCGCAGCCGCAGCATGTGTGGAAGGCATGCTTCCCTTGTTTGAGGGAAACAGACCTGAACTGCACAATAGTCTTGATCAACGCAGGTGCGCTGCGACTTATTCCGGATTCGCTTCTTGATGTTGTAGCATCATGATGTGCTTTACGCTGGAGGTACTGACAAGTGGACTTCTCAGTGGATGCGCTTATCCCATAATAGCTCTTGAAGTGGTTAACGGCCCGGGACCTACATCGAGTTTCCCAGAGACTGGACTCACAGCAGTCACGCTCGAAGCTTTCCCTTTCCGCCATGATGCTGCTTAGGCCATGCGCTGGTTGCGTTGGAGAATCCCTGGTTCCAGGCCGGAACTAGGCCTCCAATCTCGTTGCTTGGAGACAGACCTTTTGGCGCAGGGGCGATGGAATGGGCATTGGGGTCCCGACAGCCCCGGGCCGGAGCCTCGGAGCAACGGAAAGCCACAGACTACAGTCACAGCAAGTGCCTCCCCTCTTTCTCAGTGGATCCAGCCGATTGAACAACTCGCGTGTCTTGACAGAGAGCACCACGCGATTTCTCAGAACGCTTGTGTGTGTGTGTGTTTGCTGTTTGCCGCAACTCTTGGATGCCCGACTTTATGGGTTTCAGCTAATGTCCTGCAGGGCGAGTCCTCGAGAGCGTGCTGGCAAGAAACCGCAAACATGTTACGGCCGGCAACACCATTCACGGCAGGCGACGTGCTCAGCTTCAATTGCCGGGCTGCCAGCCCTTCTGGATGAGCATCCAGGCGGGGTCCTGCAGCCACAGAAGCTAAAGCGGCAGACTGTAGCGGCTGGAGGACTTCTGTCAGCACTTCACAGACATTGCTCAGGCACTGGGGCCCCCGATTTCTCCGAAACTCTTCTGACTTCTCCTTGCACTGCTCAGGCTCGGCTGGTCCCGGGCTCCTGGCAAGCGGCCATGGCCCGGCTCTCGAGGCTTTGCCTTTGAAGGATCGCCTCGGCCTGGGAATTGGCCAAGGTCGCAATGTCCGAGGAAAGGCCCAGCTACCCCCTCGTCTCGGTTTCTTCGCCAACCCAGGCCTTCCCACTGGGCAAGCTTCAAGCTCAAGACTTCACAGAGATCAATGCCTTCCAAGCTCTAATGCACCGGATCGCATGGCATGATTTTTCTAACGCAAGGCATGCAAGGCTTACGACCTTTGACATAGCATGCTGAAGGCGATCTTTCTTCTCTCGCAAGCAGACCCTCCTCGTGGTTCGCAAAGGCCCGGGCACCGCGCGGCAAAGCAAGGCAAAGAGTACTGTAGCTTCTCATGTGAAACGCCAGGAGTGCGGTTCCGCTCGGTCTGCGGGTGTACCGGTGTCGAATCGTGGCACCGCCGCAGCATGCCACAGGCGCAACGGTTGGGAGTGGCGAAACAAGTCCCAAAACTACGATGAAAGCGCGAGGAGTGAAGCAGAACGTGTCCAATCCCTTCAAGCCTCTCGAGTTGGTTGCGGAGATGCCAATCTCCCAGGCTTCGGATCCTTCTCTCATGCGGCTTACTCTCTCCCTCTCTCTCTCTCTCTCTCTCTCTCTCTCTCTCTCTCTTTCCCTCGTTGTCCTTTCTTCTCGCTCTCTCCAGACCCCAAAGTCCAGAGTCCTTTCAGGCAGATCCTCAGCACTAGGACGAGATCTCGGTAGTTTTCATCCCGATGCCTTCTGCCAGTCCGGGCGGTCAGTGATGGTGGAAGTTCCGAAGCTTGAGCCGCCACCTGGCTGAATTTGACGATCTCTCTTTGCGCTGTGTTGCAGCGTGGTCGCGTCTTGTGGGGCACGGATTCTGGAGAGGAACTGCCTCTACGTGGCGTCGATCATCTACTCGTCGCTGGCCTTGTCGCTTTTCGATTCGCTCTCTTCGCATCGTTCGTCCCTTGATTTCACGGCTTTCCCAGCCCCGAGGCCGAATGCGCCTCCAGACTTGGCCATCTTGCGAGTGTTGACGGCTTCCTCCATGCGCTTCCGAGAGCTCTCCGTGCCAGAGTCGGCGTGCGCCATTTCAGGGAGAAAAGCAGATCCGAAAAAAGCCAAGAACATGTCACATGATTACAATGATGTTACTTGAGGTACTTTCTTCAAGCCGAGGAGCAGGTCGGAGGTCGTCCCCTGCAGTGGGCCCAGAGGCTTCCACGTGGCGTCCGCGTCCATGAGGGTACTTCTGCAAAGGAGAAAGGGACAACTCTAGAAGTGGCATGAAGTGGCTCAAGTAGAACTAGTAGAACAGTAAGACAATCGCTTGTTGCAAGCATGTCTCAGCCACCAATCGTCATTAAAGGCTGCAAGAGCAGCTCTGTCAATGGACATGTCATGATGTGTTCTCGAGGTATGCGATTGACACCGACAGCTTCTCGTCTCAGGCACGGCAAGGGCAGCGCCTGCGTGGGGCTTCCAGCATGGAGTAAGCGCTTGAGGGCTTGTGGAGGATGTGGCCAGTGAGCCGAGCTTTGCGACTCGCATCGTGCGCGGGAGTGGTTTAAGAGACTGGAATAGACTTGACCAGCTTTACTCGAAAGGGTGACCGGCCTCTTTTACAAGTTTAATGACAAGCTTGAAACATGCACCTTTCGTGAAGAAGCTGTTGCGTTGGCCTGCCTTGCCCAAATCGGGAATGCCATCGACCAGGGTTGCGCATCCTACAGTGAGAGGGCAGCCGTCATGCTGTCGCAGCTAGGGGTGCCATCTCACTCGAATCCACTTCTGATGGGCCAGGGATCTCTGGAAGCCGCACAGCTTCCGACTCCTGTCTGGGGCTTTCGGCATTGCATGGCAGTGGTGTACACTGGATGTCGCCTGGAGATCAAAGGCCAGAAATGATCCGATGCGAGACTCAGCGTCTCGTGGAGTAGACGGCTGCAGCCCCAGATGTTCGTGATTCATACCCTTTACGTCCTGAACCTGATCATCCCGGTTCGTTTGTTCGATCTGCAGGAGCTGCATCAGAGAGTTGGCAGACCTCAGCTGCATCAGCTGCGTCCGACACGTGGCAAGGCCAGGTTGTGGTGGGCAGCTTCGGAAGTCTTCTGATTGGAGCGGCCATCTTCCCATACGTCCACCGTCAGAAGTGGACCTCGGCTTTGGCGAGTTCAAGCTGCCTCCCTTCCTTCAGGCCATTCTTCTAGCTCGTGGTAAGTTTCGAATGCTTCGTCACTTGTCTCTTTGGACTGCCAGGAGATACTAAATCAATGTTCTGGTGTCGACTGCTGATCTGTGGAAGGGCCGAAGCCAGAACAGTGTCGTCAGCCCTCGCCCGTCAGCCACGGCATTGAGCCGAGCCACATGTGCCAATTCGCATTGTACAGCATCGACCCGCCAGATCTCGAGCTGGAGCCAGCCACAAAGCCCTTGCAATTGCGGGAGCACAAGGTCTAGGTCTCGATTGCTTGGCTCGTGTCCGATGCCGCAGTGCCAGCATCCATGGAATCCGTCAGTAGCATGACCCATGCTTTCGGCAGCACTCCTTGATCCCCAGCCTGGTGTCACCGGTTGCACATCTCGCATAACTGCATAACTTCCTCAGTGCCGCAAGAACTGTACCAGCCTCACCACATCTGGCCACGGATTGGTTGACGGTAGCATCAGTTGAAAGTTGGCGTGCTTCCTGTGTGCCAGCTTCTGAGTTGGTGTGCTACCGTGCTACCTGCTTTGCGCTTCAAACATAGGCTGTGGACCTGCTGCGACTTAGGTTTCGCATGGGTGTGCCGCTTTCGCTGTAGGGTCTGGGGCCTCGAGATGATGCCAGTCTCCGGCCACAGGCCTGTGCCTGCATAAGCATGCCAATGGAGGTTGCCATGGGCAATAACCTGGCTCGCGTGGTCTTCCAGCCTCCTCAAGCTTCGTGCCTGGGAAGAAGAAAGTTGTTGTCGTGTGGAGGGATTCATCAGTTGAGGATGGCCGTTCGGGCCTCGGCTGTTAGGGCTTGCTTAGCTACGTGCGCAGAGTTGTGTGGTCGACTGTGAAAGTTCTCGCTCGCATCCTGACATTGAGGGGGGACGTGTTGCAGGTATGGCAAAGATCCAAACCTCTTTTGGCTGACGACCTCCAGAGAGGAGGTTGGGTTCGAGTTCCTCGAGCTTGTCCAGTCACTGTTGGGCTGGGCCAGGTCATTCCTGCCTTCTACGTCCGGCGACAGGATGCCAGGCTGCCCCGAGAAAACTCCTCCAAGCTTCGGTGCTTGTCCTACCTGTTCCGCTCTCGCTCAGTTTCACCTTGCTCTTCAGCCACGGCAATGCCGAAGACCTGGGGCTGATTATCCGGTGCCGCGAGAATCAGAAGAGGGAAAGACAGCAACGGAGCCATGCCAATGAACATCCCCCCGCAGGTACTTTCGAGAGCTGAGTCACATCTTGCATGTCAACGTTTTTTCCTACGAGAATCCCAGCTGCAAGACTGTGCACATCAGGCTGACCCGTGCGAATTTCGAAGAATAGCTGAGATGAGGTATACAGGGTATGGCATGAGCACCGGCCAGCCACAGGACCTTGAATTGTGTGTGTCATCGACGGGCTTACTCTGCCCTGCGGCACCTGGTGGAAGTTTGTACTCCCGAGCCACAAGTATGTTTTGGTGCGCCGTTGGCACCGGGCTGTGCTGCTGCCGGAGCTGATTTCATGCAGGAGGCAGCGGTGTACGCGGATATCGAAGCTGCCTTCAAGCAGCTTTGGCAGCATCTGCTACAACGATGCGTGCAAGACGGGACAAGACAGGGAGCGACTGTGGCTCAAGTCTCGCTTCGGTTCCCGAATTTTTGGGCTTCAGGTGAAAAGAGCGCGAGGGAGTTTCGAAGGCTGCCTCTCAAGTACGAGGTTGTTACAGGTTTGTCCGAGCTCATGTAACCTCCTTGTATTGTCGGTTTGACTGTCGCATGACATATCGAAGACGCTGTAGCCAAGCTACCTGCCAGTGTTGCAGCAAGGCTGCAAAATCTGAGAGCTTTTCCTATCCTCCCACACCTGTCAGCTTCCGCTACAAGCTGGCTGCACTTTCGTGGCATCATGGGTTGATCTGCCAGCTTTCGCGAGGAGCCCCCTCAAGCCTGTTCTTGCAGCTGCAGAGAGGCTGCTTCAGATAGCAGTCCCGAGAGATGACGTCTTCGAGAAGAAGAGCTAGAGGAGAGAGAGGAGGGGTCGACCCCCGCCTCAAAAGCTCAGGTACTTGAGGGATGAGCTTCGCGCCGTGCTGAGACTTGTTCAACCCCGATTTTCGTGGCCACGCCATGGGCTCTGCTGACTCTGCTGGCGCCGCGAGGCATTCCTTGGACCCAGATTGTGCCTTACGGCCGATCGATTGGGACAGCGCCTTCCATCCATTTGGCCACGCAGACCCCGGTGCGTGGCGTGGTTCAGGGCCTCAGAGGTGTGCAGCATCCCCGCTTGCCTAAGCGCTAAGTGCAACCGAGATACTGCAGAGCCCAATGGTGTCAATCTACAGAATACCGCCCGGTCCTTACGGTGTCGGCCGATTGACACGACGACACGCAACATGCAGAAAGCACTCGATCTGCGCTGAGATTCCGTTTGCGCTTCACGCTTCCCGGAGATGTCTTCACCAACATTGACAAAATCGGCCACCTGACTGCAACGACACAGCAGCAGCATTCGGCGTTGCGCTCTCCGGTCCACCAACGTCCTATCTGATCTGATCCCGATTCGGCCCAGGCAATGTGTGCTCTCCGGTGCGACTGGTCTGCAAGAAATATGTGGGGGAGAGCCATGCCCGAAATGCGAACATCATCTCCAGTCAGGTTCATCATCCACGGCACAAGGGATGAGATAGTTCCTGTTTGGCATGGTCAGGCAAGGCCTGTCTGCAGCCGGGAGCGTGGTAGCGGAGCTGTGTTCCTGCTGTGAGGCCCTGTACCACACATGCGTGAAAAAGGGCATTGCTTACGATGCTTTTGTCATCGAGGCGATGTGCTGCATCCGGAGTTCGCCTCAATCTCGCCAGCCTGACATGTGAAATCCTTGATGCCAGGGTGCAGACCACAACAATCTGGAGATGCAGGCAGCACTTGCAACGATTCTGGTAGCACTTGCTTTAAGATATTTCCGGATCCTGTGTCGGAAAAATCGACAGTCACAGTCATTTTCGCACGTTTCTCGGAGATGCCTCTCTTGCAGGCTGGCGATGCTTTCTACGATAGGCTTTCGCCCCGCTGGCGGGCTTAAGCTGCTGATGAGACACAACACCAGTGGAACAGTTCCACTGAAGTCTGTTTTTGTTTCTTCGAGAATATTTAAAGCTCTGCGCTCCAGCCTGCCAGGCGCTTTCTAGAGCACTTGAAGCGCACGCCCATCTCCGAAAAGTTGCAGCGGCAGGCGCACGCAACTTTCGCCTCCAAGCTCGAGATCGTGAGTTCCTACTCGTACTGGGGTCCGCTGTCCTCACGACGATGGCTATTCGGGGCTGCATTAGGCGGTGACTCTCGGAGGGAGATGAAACGAGCACTCCACAAGGGGGACTGGTGTACGATTGGTTCTACCACAGGCTTTTGATGCTTTTGCATGGTTGTTCTGGCGAAAGGCATCGCTCGAGGATCTTGACGGCCGACCGGTCCAGTAGAAGAGACGCGAAACGTTTTGGTTGTCCCTGTAAGTCGGCTGATTTGTTGCTTGTCGGACCACACATGCAACTCAGTCGTGCCGGGATAGAAGGTGTTGGCATGACATTGGGTCGTTTTCTGGCATGTGCCTATCCCTTGTGCTCTTGATAACTGCTTGGGGTCTTCCCCTTTACTGCCGCCAATGTGATCCGGGACACCACCTCCAGAGCATGGTGCTGCCAAGAAATGCTGACAGGTGGACCAAGCCAGAATTTGAGCAAAGGTGTTGCTCGGCAGTGTGTTATCTGCTCCGCAAACTTCAATCCTGCAGCATCTGCTTGCAGCAAATCATACGTGCCTTCTGCCCAGGCCCAACCACGGGCCTTTGGCTTTGCCGGCTCGCTGCACCCGAAAAACTAATGCAGGTCTGGAGCGTGATGTTTTCATTTGACATCGCAGTGTGGCTGGCATTGCAGTTCATGCTTCTGTTCCTGTTCGAGTAGCAGTAACAAAATTTCACTTGCTTTGGCGCGAGAGACTAGCCCACTGCCAGCAAGCCATCACATAGAAGTGCCAGTAGTGCAAAGTCGTGGTGCCGCAGGCAGGCTCAAGAGCCATTGCTCAGGCAAAGAGTCCTGGCAGGCTAAGATTCCAGATCTTCGTAGCAACGAGGCAGTTCATGGTCACTTCACGACGGTCATAAGTGAGTGACAAGAATTATTAATGATGTGATCCCAATGTGGCAAAAGGGCATTGGGCTTTGGATGGTCCTGGGGTGGCAGGCGGCCGATCAATGCTTGCTGCACTTAGGCTCAATTGAGAAGATTTTGTTGTCCGCAGGCTTGCAGCCGTGGCTCCAGGCAGTAGGTTGTTGCCTTAGCATCTGCTTTATGCTCCCATTTGTCAGTTTGTCTTCTACATGGTCATGCACGGGTGCATGCTGACTGGACGAGGAGAGAGACAATGCTGATAGGGCCTATTAACTACTACCAGTAGCTTTATCTGTGCTATCGGAAATAACGGCCGTAGAAGTCGTGGATGGTGCGGAAGCTAGGATGGACAAGCACAGCACAGACAGGAGTAGAGAGGTGACCAGTGCTGCCTCACGCAGGGGAACAGTCCTTTAGGTGGCACAGTCTGGGTTGCGCTCTCTGAGTTCACGCTTGCCGTTCGCCTCGCAACCGCTCCACCATGCTGAATGCTGAGCCAAAAGGTTTGTCCAGCACAACCGTGAAAGCTAGCGCGCCTCCTCGAGACCGGGACTTGACTGACAGATGAACAGCCATCTTCCCTCCGGATGCTCACAGAATCCAGTCTGGGAGGAATCTCGTGCAATCTCGTACATGAGAGACAGGAGATGCTTCATCTCAAAGGCTGCAACCGTGCTTAATGGATCCTAGGCCGTAGGCGCCCGTGCGATGTCCTCCTTGGAGATGCCATTCAACACACTGTTAGAGCCAGGCGAAGCAAAAGCACGGGATTTGCCGCAGACGAGCCAGCCCCAGGCTCAAAAGGAGATGTTGGATGCGGAGAAGAGCATCGAGGTCGAGGCATGGTTGTCGCAGCACAGTCTGCGTTTTGTTGAGCAAGGTTTTTCCTGTGGAGGAACTGCACGCTAGCAGTGGCAGTCGAGACGCCACCGCCTCCTGCGATTGGCCCGAGCGGGCCCAGGATGTGAAAGTCGCGAAAGGCTGGGTGGTCAGACAGGGTGCGTCTGGGGGGGGGGGGGGGGGGGGGCAGTTTTGACAGACTTCGTGCTATGCCGGAGGCTCAGAGATAGACTTTGGCACCGCGGAGATCATTGGTGAGGTCGGAAACACATGCGTAGGAATAGTCGGTGTCGGGTATATTGGGGTTTCGGTGTCGTCGTGTGGCAGCTCGAGGTCTTGGCCGAGCAGTCCTCTTGGCTGCAAAGCGAGCGGCTGCGGCCCCCGTTGCTTGGCTTTGCATGAGCACGAGAAACTCTGGCGACAAAGCGAATTACGCAAGCCGCTTTCTCAGGGATCCCCGGAGAGCAAAGCAACCACGGCGCGGACCACAGTCTCGCGCGTCTCGGGTCTGGGGAGATTCGAGCGGTGCCAGCGAATGCCAGCGACAGCTGTCAAGAGGCAAGCATCATGGCACGAGCAGCGGAAGGGCCAAGTGTCCCGTGCCAAGGGTCGGACTCCCAGGCCGTGGTCCCTGTGACATCTTTCACAATGCATATCTTGGCAGGATCCAACAAGTCTTCGGTAAACATCTGCGAGCGCATCGCCGTGTGAGCCTGGCTGCGGTTGCAGAGCATTTCAGGCTCACGAAGTCGCCCTCGCATTGCTTGGCAGGTTTGTCGTGGTCTTCCTGTTTCTGTTGCTTTGCTCTGCCTGGCTGCGGTTGCCAGACACATGGTCTGCCTGTCTTGACATGTGTGAAAAGTTATTGCGCTAGTGCGCGCCAAGCTGCCGAGTGCCTTCAAAATAATTCTATCCCGACGATGCCAAAGATGTACTGTAAAGCTCCTGGAGCCCTGGAGTGCCTCCGAAGTGCTGAGGCAGTCGTCGGACCTCTTGCAGGAATTTGCAGACTGGGTTTGGCCCCCAGAGGCAATTCGAGAGAAAGCCGCTCTAGCCGCTTTTGAGCCCTTTAGGCGCAAGACGGCCAGGCTTCGGAGGCCCGTAGCCGGGTGCTCTGGGTTAGGAGGAAGCTGTGGAGGGGTTCCCTTTGATTGCAGGAGGACGTTTGTCAAGACGATGAATGAGAACCTCACAAGGCCGGAAGGTTGCCGAAGATGTGACTGCCCTGGATGGGAGATGGGGCAGGTCAGAATTCCTGGCGGGCACGCAGCTTGTGAGCGTCAACTGAGGAAGTGTGCTAGGGAAAGTGCGAGTTAGATGCCCAAAAGTGGCAGACAGGTTCCGCCAACGCGATCAATGAGTAACCATGCTCTGAGTATCCTGGACATGGGCTCAAAACCAAAATGTCGTTGCCATTCCGGGCAATGTAGCAGCATTCACGTTCACAACTCCCGCTTCAGCCAATGGATTGGCAGATGTCGCATGCGGTTGTAGGTTGGACAGCGAGAGTTGCGACTTGAGTTCGCAAGCTGGACCTTGAGAGATGCGAATTGAGTTTGCAAGCTGCACCTTGAGAGATGCGGCTTGAGTTTGCAGGCTCCGACCCTGGCAAGTGTTGCATAGGCATGCCATGGATCCTTGTGAGGAGATGGCTGCAAGATCCCAGCCGGATGAGACTCAGGCGGAAGAGCCAGCGGCAACACAGCTGGACCAGTCCTCTTCATCCAAAGAGGAGTTGCTTTATCTGAAGGCTTTCAAGGAAGCATCGCAGAGGTCCCTTAAAGCCGATGCAATCATGCCCGATGCTAGGGAAGCATTGGAGACCGACCGTGTTAGAGAAGCTTCTGAAGCCTCTGGAGCTGCAGCATTAATTGTGAGCTCACCGTCAAAGGCTGTGAGACAGAAGGCTTCTGCACCATCGACACCAGTTTCTCCAGCTACGACAGTGCCAGCGGAGATGCCAGAAGACCGGAGAACACCTATGCAGAAGCAGCCAGCAGCACAGCTGGAGTCTTCCCCAGAGTGTACCAGTACAGGACTTCGTAAGCAAAGGTTTGACGAGGCTCACAGGAAGATCTCCGAGGGAAAGCTTCGAGTGTACAGCTTTCTGCTCGGCAACCTTGGAACACACCGATGGCTACTCCAGCCCTCTTACGAGACACCTGGCAGTCACGCAAGAGACCTGCAGCAGTGTTGAAGAAGACTTCGGTGCGCGAGGCACGTAAGTTGCGCTTCACTGGTGCATGCAGAACCTCCACGCGAAGAGCCAGCGGCTGCCACTCTGGAAGAACTGCTGAAACCGCTCCGCCTTCTTCTCTTGGAAGAGGAAGACCAGCAGGCCTATTCTTGCAAAACAACCCACATCGCACCAGTCAAGGCCCGACCCCCGAACCCATGTCGCACAGGTCAAGGTCGAGTCCCCAAGACCAAATCGCATGAGTCAGGGCCCGACCCTCAAATCCTTGTCACATGAGCCAAGGTGTAGCCCGCAGTGCTCTTTTCGCTTGCAGGTCGGGCTTTACTTTCAGCCACTGCCGACCTGCAACCACCCGCTCGTCGGCGACCTCTCGCCCAACGCCTTGTGGACTTTGGCGTCAAAGGCCCGCCGACCCGGAGCTCGCTATTTGCATAAAACTCAAGAGCAGAACCCGAGGCGCCACTTGCTGGCAAGTGCTAGAAAGCCGCATGGCTGAGCTGCTTTGTCAGCGCATGCCCGCACTGGGCGAGCGGTGCCGAGAGGCTGCTGTGGATGCGCTTCACTAGTGGTTGCAGAACCTCGATGAGAAGAGCTTGCGGCTGCCGCTCCAGAAGAACAGCTGAAACCCCCCCGCCTTCTTCTGTTGGGTGTCACACTGGTCAAGGCCCGACCGTCGCAGCAGTCAAGGTCGAGTCCCCAAAAACGAAGTCGCATGAGTCAGGGCCCGACGACTAGCAGGCCTATCAAGGAAAAAAACCCATGTCGCACTAGTCAACGCCCGACCCCCAAACGCACGTCTTACCAGTCAAGGTCGAGCCCCCAAAACCAAGTCGCGTGAGTCAGGGTCCGACCCCCGGAACATGAGTCAATGTGTAGCCCGCAGATCCATGCTACATGTACCCTTTTCGCTTGCAATTCCGCATTGCTGATCTGCTTTGTGACCGAGGCTGCTGTGCACGCGCTGGTCTGGTGCATGCAGAACCTCCACGAGAAGAGCCTGCTGAAACCCCTCCGCCTTCTTCTGTTGGAAGACGGGGCTCGACCCCCAAACCCATGTCGCGCCAGTCAAGGTCGAGTCCCCAAAACCAAGGTGCATGAGTCAGGGCCCGACCCCCAAATCCTAGCCCGCAGATCCATGCTACATGTACTCTTGTCGCTTGCAGGTCGGGCTTTACTTTCAGCCACCGTCGACCTACAACCACCAGCTCGTAGCTGGTGAGGCTGCTCACACGGTACAGGGCCAAATCGCTGCAAGACGAGACCCGCCTGCAGTACCTGCCTGTGATCTACGTCACAGCGACAAATAACCGCTTTGAGCCGGCGATGCGTCTGGATCTCGCCAGCGATCCCGACAAATCCATGGGCCATGAGAAGTACCACCGAGATGCAGCCAACATGCTGATCGAGCTGTTGCAGTGGGTTAGTGTGAAGACCATCGCAAGGCTTTCCGCCGGACCTACGGCCCTGCGAAACTAGATTCTAGATCCGTGACCAGAAGGTCGTGCTCTGCAAAAAGAACTCAACAACTCTTTGGATCTCTAAGAGACTTGCACGTTGCCAGATCCAACCTCCTCCGTTACGTGTGCACTGTACAGCAAGCGCTTGAAGACAAACAGTGGTCAGCTTGCGTACTGCTCGGTGCCCAGCTTGCTTGAAGCAAGCTTCGAAAACAGTGACAAATGCGTGCTGAGACGATTGGCTTCAATGTCCCGCCTACCAACGCATGCGACATCAATCCATTGCTGAAACCGGGAGTTGTGGCCTTGTGCACTGCTTCGAGCCGAGCTTCCTGCCACACCTTTTTCTCTCAGACAGCACGTGTACAGTACATTGCGCGAGTCGCTAGTCTCTCCCGCAATCTCATGCTTTGCGTTCCGGACGGTGCTCATCGGCAGATGAAGGAGAAGCTGGCAAGGAGGAGACGGCGAACGGGGATGAAGAGTGCTGATGGCACACTGACCGAGACAAGACCCCCTGCCCCGGCCGCCGCTTCCTCGCCTAAACCGGCGGAGCCTTTGTCAAGCGAAAGGAAGGAGCTTGCTCCACTTGGTCCACTTGGCGACTTCAAGCCGGATCCTGAAGAGGGCTGCCCATGCCGTGCGCCGCGTCCGGCAGAGGCGAGAGGGAGACACAGACTTCTCGTGCGGCTGAGTTCGGATGCTGCTCGACTGAAAGGCTGACAGTTACGACATCTTCACCATGACTCCGCAGTTTGACATTTACACTCCCCGTGCTGAGCCTATTGGCGACTGCTGCCGCGTAGGTAGCATGTTGTGGTCGGAATGAGCAGATAGAGCAACGCAGGTGATGATACAGCAGCCAATCGCCCGCTCCGATCCAAGCGCAGGCGGGTTCCTGTTTTGCTGCTAATACCTTGCAATAATGCGTGGAAGGCTGGTTGCTGTCTGTGGTCGATATTTTTGAGAGGTCTCCACCAATCGTGAAAAGTTGGCAACGGCTTGTTGGTTCTCACTTCAATCTAGGTAATGTCGAGTTGAGAAGCACAAAGGCGAAACCAAATAAAGGAAAATCACGGTAGTTGCGTTCCGTGGTAAGACCTTGCCTTTCAGTTTGATTTCTCGCCAAATCAGCACAAGTCAAAGCAATCACGAGCATTCCAAACCAGCCGAAGCAGCACCAAGCAGCTGTTAAGGTCCACAAGCCTTTGCAGCAGATATCGGAAAGCCTTTCGATCTAGAGGGGCTCGGTTAGCAGGTGGCTCATCCTGAGAGCTTTGAGTTGCAGCTTTGCCATACTTTTCTTGCAGGCACCTCAAGGGCCGCAAAGTGAGGCTGCACATCTATGACGTCTCGCGCGATCCGAACATCCAACGAGTCAACTTTGTCTTTGCGAACAAGGATGCGCCAATCAAGCTAGGCCGGGTGTTCGTAAAGTGACCGGCAACAGTGCTCTGTGCTGGCAATTTTTCGGACAGGTGGTCTTTTTCACGCCGGAGTTGAAATCAGCAAGCTCGAGTGGGCTTTCGGATCAGGGTGCCTTCACGAGTCGCCGACTGGAGTCCGATGCCACCAGCCGAAGCAGAACATTCAGCACAGTTATCGGCAGACAGTCCGATGCTTACACAGGAGTTCAGAAAGTGCCACAGAACGCAGCCGTGAGCCAATCGAGGTCTACCTTGGCCGTACCCAGTGCAGCCGTGAAGAAGTAGCCAGAATCCTTGCAGAGATTGCGGAGGAGCTTAGTGCAACCTTTTCACTTACTCTGTACGAACCGTGGCATGCCAAGCTTGAAGCTGTTCTGCGTAAGGTGGTTGCGAAACACAGTCTGTCAGGAGTACAGCGCGGAAAGCTATGATTTGCTGCGCAAGAACTGCTGTCACTTCGCCGATGACCTCTGCCGCCGACTAGGAGAAGCAACCGAACACCCAGAAACGCACCAGGAAAGCCCGGATCGATCTTTCAACCATCCCAAGACTCGACCTGGCAGCGAGAGACCCCAAGTCCAGAGGTAGAGAAGAGACATGCATGTAAGCTGTACTGTAAGCGTATGATTGTGACTCTGCATGCGGCAACAAGGCAGACTGCACCGATGTTGAACATCTTGCATGATTGGACATGGAAGCTGCACAAAACATTGCAGCACCCTGGACCCGACTGTGGGTGCTTAGGAACCTAGTACAGCATCTCGAACGTTCTCTCGTTCGGATCAGTAGCTTGGCAGTCGCTCAGTTTTGCAGGAGTTCGGAGCCCACCTTTCTGGCTCCTGCGTTTGGCGTGTGTTGGGGTGCCTTGGACCTTGGAGCACTGAAGAGCTCGGAGCTGTGTCAGCACTTCTGCTCCGGGAAGGCGGCTGTGGACGAGATCCTGCCGGAACCCGTCCGAGATCTTCTGCCGTGGTGACGAATTCGCGATTAGTTGGACAAGCTGGTCACAGGCGAAAGGAGACCGACAGGGAGACGGCTTCGCCCAGCATGGCTAGTGTAACCGATGTGAACCACGACCATGTGACCAGCAGAATTTGCTGCAAGCATTTGTAGCCATCTTTAGTTCCGGAGAGCAGATACAGTGTTGTGTGTCAGCTTTCCTTGGCGAGGATGCCATTGCACGACCCCAAAGGCCGTAGAGTTATGGTCACGGCCTAGGTCCCTCTCAGTCTACATCTGATTCCGTCGGTGCTCTCTCTCAAACTTGCCCTCCCTACGGTATTGGTGTCACCTGGTCGCTGGGACTGGTGGCTGACCAGTTGGAATTCAGCTATGTGCCGGGAATTGTAGGACTGCCTCTCGAACCTGCCAGAATTCGTTTCTTGTGTGAAGCTGATGTGGCAAGCGTGAAAGACAGTTTCCTTTGCAGGGAATGTGCATCGGCAAAAGAGTGCTTGCGATCCGATCTGCAAGCTACATGTCTTGTCTTCCGAAGCTCAGCGCACAAGCTTGCTCATGCAGCCTGCACTCTTGACAAGAATAGCGAAAGTTGATCATGCGGCTGCTCGGCTTACTATACCTTCGCCATCGGTGCAGAGACAAGGCACAACCGCCAACATGACCTGAGGCCCGCGCTGCTATCATCATGCCTGGACATGCAAGTGTGGTCAAAAGCGTGGTCAAGCTGGCATATAAGCCCATGAGTCGGCCCGACAATATGATGGCCGATAGTGACCTCAACAGCTTGATGGATGCTGGATTACTTCGGCAGCGAGATGTGGCGAGAAGATGAGGCAGCTTTGCGAGTCAACTATTCGGGCTTGCAGACGTCGGGGGCGGGAATCTCTGGAAGGAAGCGCGGGCCAGCCGAGCTTGCAGGCAGGGCTGCAAAGTCTCGGGGATGTCGGGAACGAGGCGAAGCTTGAAAGCCTTGAAAACCACCGAAAGCCTTGGCCAGTGCGCTTCCCCACGCGTCTCTTCTTGGTTTTGGATTTTAAATGTGTGTGCTCTCTCTGAGAGGCTCGGCAAGTGATGTGCTTGGGAAAGAGAAGCGCCTTCGAGGGCGAATTCTGCGGCCTGGGCACCAGAAAGAGCGGTCGCTAAGCATGCCTTTTGCAACTACCGGTACCGCTCCGGGGGCTTGTTTAAAAGGAGTACTGCGGCAGTTGGAACGGGATGTCACCGTGTGTTCCGGTGCAGCTTGCGGAATGTCGCGTTAAGCGGGGAAGGTGTGAAAAGGCTGACACCCTAGATGGACTATCCGTCGCTGGAGCTGAGGCCAGATCAAGCCGCTGCCATCAAGCGAAGGAAGCTTGCCATCTATGTGCATCGTCACTACGCTGTAGGCTTTAGATGCACTCGTGGTTTTTGTACCAGTTTGGTTGGTTCCTTGCAGGCAGCAACTTGAGAAGAAGGCGGTGCGCAGACGCGTTGCGCTGTGGCGCTCGAGGAAGTTTGCTCCAAATGATTCCCTCATGTGTACTTTGTGACACTCCTTGGAGGACTGTTGACGGCAAATGGTGCTGCCCACAGCTGGTTTGCGAGAACGTTCATGAAGCGCTTGAGTGTCCTGAGTCCTTTTTGCATTTTGCGTCAGGAAAGCATGCTAAATCTGGCGAACACAAGTACAATCAAGTACATTTGTGGGGCGGGTGTTTCTCTCTATTCAACAGGAGGTGGCACGGACCGATTGCAGCTCACCACGTTCGCGCTAAAGAAGCTCTGGGTAGGGTTTTTTCATCGGTATAAACACATCGACATCTTGTGGAGATCTTGTTGATACATGCTCTTGATCACCAGCCGCTGTAACCATGAAGAGAATTAAGAGAGTAGGGTACTCTTGGGGTGAATGTAAGACACGCTTGCGCAAGAGCCACACTAGTGAGGCGAAGTTCAACGCTACTTGCTCTCGCCCAATCCGACTGTTAGAGCATCTTTAGGATCATGCAGCACGCTAGCAACCTTTCTCGTGAATTACTCTAGGATGCACCAAGAACAGCAATTATCATTGTCGGTCAAGTAGTGTAGCCGCCACCCAGATAATCCATCAACATCGTCAGTTGCAGGGCGATGATTTCGGGCGCACCAGAATCAGGATTCACCACGGTCCATTCTCAGCATACTGCAGGCAGACAGTCTACATCACGTTGGCTGGTGATGTTTTGAAGAAGGGTGCAAGGTCGCGGAGCCACTATCTGTCGGCAAGCCTGATGTGCGATTTGTGGCAGGGCGTATAGAGCTGCTGCGGCAGATCAGCAATACTTGAAGGTGCTGCTTCGGCTCTTCTACCATTTGGACTACCTATAGCTATGCTCTGATGGCAGGCCTGTGGAATTGCCAGCAATCAACCTGCCTACTCGGAAATAGAGGTGCCAGAGGAGCCTGACCTGTGCAACCTTCCCCCTTCCCTTCTTGCCAGCTTTTCGGTCTTTCGACTTTCTTTTCAAGGAGATCCATCCATATGCCAGCTGCAGAGGGCAAAACCCTTTGGATGCCGAGCGAAAATTTCAGTCGCACAGTAAAGGCATGCTGTAAGCAGACTCTTTGCTGCGACCCGTGACAACGCAGACACTTAGGAGCTCGCCTACTGGTGCATCCCGCAGTCGGTGCAGGCCTGTCGGCAGCGCTTCAGGAAGTACTTGCTTGCTGAGTCTGGAAGACCTGCCGACCACAGTGCTTGACAAGCAAGGCTTGCCTTCGTGCAGCGGGCATTCAGCACCTACACAAGTGGCAAGCCGAATGCCTGAGCTGCCCGCAGGCAGCAGGGATGACATGTATTTCTGAGCCGCACTGCTGTCCCACCTTGGCTTTGTGCCTGCGCACCGCCAGGTCCAAGTGCAGAGCACCGGGCCAATGTAAACCCTCCATAATGCTTGAGTAGTGCAGCTTTGGGCAAAAGCTAACAACTTCTGACAACTCATACTTCTCATCTCGAGTTCACGGAGCATTTGAGCCATGTCATTCTGCCGACCACCAGCCGCCCCGACGCCCCTCGCCGCATTCGCAAGATCTTTGGGGGCACAGGATGATGACACCAGGACTCCCATGCACTTCCCGATGTACACGGTGCCGTTGCATGCAGTTCTGCAGATGGTCGAAGTTGAGCCGCACGAAGAGCTGAAGGCCAAAGGCCTGGTTATCGAGTTTGACAAGAACCTGGGAAATGCGGCCTTCGTGTCGCACCAATGGCTGGGGCGTGACACTAGACTTCGCAACACGCAAGGCATGTTAGTTCGGTTAGGTCCTAGCAATCTGCACCATTGTGGAGGCTTTGCCCTGCGGCAGTATCTAGTCAATGTCGGGGTGATAGGCAAAACGAGGTTTAGAAACTGCAAGGAGGGGCTACCATCTTCGGGTGACCGGCTTTCCCCTTTGAGGAATTTGACGGAGGTTGTGGGATTTCTGCCCAGAAGCAGCCGAACGCCTGGGCCGGGAAGATTTCAGAAGTCTGAATCCCCAAGAGTCTGCGAGCTTGGCCCCACCTCTTTACAACGAGGTTCGCCGCAGGTGAGTCTAGGGTCGGCCGGAAAAAAACCAAGTGTTTAGGTTGGAGAGGAATTAATGACGGAGGGCAGATTTAGGTGACCGGTTTCTTTCATTTCCAACAAACTGTTCGAAGCTCAACGATGTCTTTCAGGCTTGCTTCCGGTGCTCGGAGTGCACAGGTCGGGGCATCTGAATCTGTGACGCCCCGCTCAGGATAATCCAGATCCGCAGTTCGAGCAGTTTCGGGTTCTCCAGCAAGCGCTACGCCATGTGACTGGCGTGGTTCAGACGGAGCTTAAGATTGGGGTTTTAGGAGCCCAGTGCACAGTTCCACTGTTCCTTGCGGTGAGCCTCACTGGTTGGTTGTGACTTTTCGATTTTGAAGGATGCTGCTCGCTTAACCCCCCCAAGCCTGACAATCTGGCAGTCAGGTGATGCACAATCTGGACTTGGTGCCGCTGGATGCTTATACGGAGACGATTGTGCCGCAGGCCAAGCCATTGCATACATCAGTGCTTCGAGCAAAGCTCCTATGGATTTGGTATGACTATTTCTCCTGCCCGCAGCTGGAGGCCGCGCTAAGCCAAGGCGCAAACTTTGGTCGAAACGCTTGCGCGGCCTCGAATCTCCAATAAAGTCCCCTTTTTGACGTTGAGCGGGAACCCTTCCTAGAAGACGTCGTTTTGTTTGTCTCTGGAAGGTAAACACAGCTGCAGCTTGCTACGAGCTATTGACAGCATCCCTGCCTACGTGGCCGAGTGCTCCTTCTTCTTCGCTCTCTGCCCGATTATCGAGACACAAGACGGGTCCAAGTTGCGGACGGCATCCTCCTGGAGCCAGCGTCTCTTTGCTGTATCAGAGGATCAAAGCTTGAGGGCTCCCCTGACCTAGACGGGTCAACCGGTCAAGGATCGCAAGCAACGCTGCCCTGTGAAAGTCTAACTGAGAAACAACTGATGCGGAGGAAGTAGTGCATGATTGACAAAATAGCAGTTTGGAAGTACCGACAAGGCAGCACCGGTGCAATCGTCGGCTTCATCACAATGCGCTAAGTACGGAAGAGTTGTGTGCTGGTGTTCTCGGGAGCTGTGATGCCATGTCTCCCAAAGTCGCTTGAACCCATCCAGGCCTGCATCCTGAGATCTGTCTTAGCATCATCTTCATCTTGTTGCTACTCTTGTTGCTTCGGCTATCCTCACTTACGATGATTGCTATCAGCCCACCATCAAAAAGAATCGCAACACGCAGAGGTGGCTGGTGCCGTCTTGAAAGAGTTTGCCGGGAGCTTTGCCAGGACTCATCTTGGATCATGGTGAAAGGCCCGCCGTCTGAAACAGTCTTGCCCTTCGGTGTGGCTGTTCTGGGCGTGGAGGGCACCGGGATTGCAAGCCTAACAACTCTCTACAGTGAGTCGTGGGGAGTTGGTACTGAAATTTATGGAATCTGAAGCTGGTGGGAGGGAGCCCACCGCAGAAGCCATTTCCTCAACTCAAGACTTCGAGGATCTCGACAGCAAAGCAAGACCGGCCCTGGACCGCCACAACCAGCATACCAAAGCAGCGACACCGATCCAAATCACAAAGATGTAGGCAGAGCAGCACAAGTGGGAGGCGCGCAGCCACTGCCATGAAGTCCTCAAGCAGGCCTCAATCTGAACCTGCAGGCTTAACAACCCTGTGCATTTCCCAGAAGATCGAAGGACCCACGCAAATGGAGTTGATCGTCTCATCGCCCGCCATCAGCGGCGGAGCCATCGGGGAAGGTACCTAACATACTATGCGTTGATGGTTCCAGATCTCTGTTGCATTTCGGGAGTTTCTGAAACCGATTTGTGCTCAGTTTGGGGCCCATGTTACACGGGATTCGAAGGTTTTGGAGGTTTGCACACGAGCAGGCAGCATCATACTGGGCCGTACATTCTCATACTGAGTGGAACATGTACGTGGATAGTCGTTGTTGTTGTTGTTGTGGTGGTTGTGGTTGTTGTCGTTGTTGTTGGCAGCTGTTGCGTCTGCCGCCGTGGATGGTGGAGCGATTTCAGGGCTGTAATGTGCTAAAACTCGAGTTTCGGCACGTGGCTGTCTAGACAATAAATCTGCGCTTTGAATTTAGTATCGGTTTTTACGGTGTTTGAAAAAAAGCATGTTCGACTTCAGGGCTGTGCCGTGCCAAATCTCGACTGTTCTCACCTGGCAGCTTGGACTTCGATGGGTACTCAAACGGTATTTACATTTATCCATGGCTTCTCCGTTTCCGTGTTTTGCTTGCAAGTCGGCTGCTTTCCTTCTTTGGACTTGCTGTGTCTGTGCTTCTTTTTGCTTCTGTGCAGGGGTGGGGAGGGGGGGGGGGGTTTGTGAAAAAAATAGGGGAAAGGGGGTTCCTAGGGCTAGCCCCATACCCCCTATCTAGGCCCCTATGTTGTTTTTCAACTTGTCTATCTTGTTCATTATCACTTTTGTTGTAGTCTTTGATGTTATCTTTATGTACTTTTAGGGCTAACTTTTGAACTATTCTTCTCCCCTATAGTTTATGATGCTTTATTATCATAGGGTTTTGTGTAAGTTTGAACTAGGACCCTACCCCATTATCTTATGGTGGTTTAGGTCATAAGCTTAGGCGTAGGTTTCCTACCTTATTCTGTTTACGTGGGGGTTTAGGTGTTGACGCTTGTGATGGTTTCAATCAGTCTGCCATGTATTGAAACATCAAAAGCATTCTTGATTTCTGAAGCCTTTCATTTCATCAAGCATCATTTGCTATTCTTCATCGCGACCACTGTAAGCCATGTCTTCAAAGGGAGGCTATGCTGTTGATCGTGAGATTGCCGAAGCTCTTCAAGCCGAAGAGAATGAGGAGGTCGTCCTGAGTGAGAGCGATGAGAGCACAGAGAACCCCTACGAAGACCTTCCTGAGGAGTTCATTGAAGAGATTAACATGATGACAGACATTGCTACGCTCAAGGAGACGATGTTCATGCTCGGCTTGAAGTATGAGTTTGTCAAAGAGAAGATTGACAACATGTGCGGTGTCAAGAAGACCATCAAGCCTGAGGGTATCACCGTCAAGATTTACATCAACAACGAGGAGTTCTCCGTGAAGCTCTCACCATCGGATACATTCAAAGATTTACGAACGAAGCTATGGGCAGCTCACGAGAAGGAGTTGCGCAAGATGGGCTTCATCAAGACCACCATCGTCCAAGACCCCGTGCTTGACTTCACAGTTGAGGGCAAGGGCTCACTCTACAAACATGCCAGACAGGGTATGTTCAAATGGAGCTTTGAGGACAACGCGGTCATCACAACTCGGGAGATGGATGAGAATGAGAGAAAGTCTCGCAAGGCTGTCAAGAACAGTGCCAAGTCAAAAGCGATGCCGAAGAAGGGCAACGACGACAAGAAGGGCGACAAGACGGACAACAAGAAGGGCGACGTTGCAACCAGCTCAGGCGACCAGAAGAAGGACAACAAGAAGGGCGACACCACCGACGAGAAGAAGGACAACAAGAAGGGCAACAAGTAAAGTCGCTTAGTGTAGAAGCCGTTTCCTAAAGCTGTGTGGCGAGTAGGAAAGCGCAAACAGCTTTTTTTCCAAAAGCTGTGTGGCGAGTAGGAAAGCGCGAGCTGAGGAAAGCATGAACTGAGGAACGCATGAGTGAAAAAATACAGGTGCTGAGACGGTCAGTTTCAACTTGAAGCTTTGAGACTTGTTGAGCGAGCTTGACCTTTTCATATTCATAGCCATTTCTGTTTAAAGCTTTGTAGCCCCTTTGTTGTTGTAATCGCTCGTTGTTTCTTGCGATGTCTTCTGTCCAGAAGCACTACTTGAAGCGTGGCGATGCTGTGAAGAAGCTGGCATCAAAAGCGAAGAAGACCATCAAAGACCGCTACCTCACCGAAGGTTGCAACGCAAAAGAAGCCATGCCTGAGCAGTTGAAAATGCTTGTGTCTCCGATGACGATAAGATGAAGGATGTGAAGCAGAAGATGGACTTGAAGCAGTTTGTCATTACTGATTGCCTCCGTTCTCTACCAGAAGAACACCTACATGCTCTTCAATAAATTTTCTCCAAAAAACCCACCGTCTACTCCGAGCAGAAATTGGCACAAATGGCGTATCTTGTTCTACCTGACCTACACAAGCTGGACGACTACACGGCGCATCTGAATTCCTTGAGGTTTTCAATTGTAAATACTTTCATTGATGCTTGCAGTGAAGAATTCAGCATAAACAAGGGGTCAGAGCTTGTATTTGCTAATGAAAAGCTCAACAAAGCTCTTGATAAAGAGCTATCTTTTCGGGATGGCTTGCGTAGAATGTCAGACCAGAACACAGAAAATGCTGTTTCTGTCTCAAGTGAAGATACTTCAGCGCGCTGTTGTATCATGTGAAGGGCTACAGTCTCAGATTTAACGGCTGGCAGTCTCATAATCCACGGCTCAAGCACTTTCAGTCTCCATCTCAACGGCTCACAGACTTTAGTCTCAAATCTGCCGACTGTCAGTCTCAAATATACCGGCTCACTTAGGTGAGCTTTTCGGTGCTCAATTTTGTTGATGAGTGCTAAGCACGTACATCCACCATCTACAAGAAGTTAGACGTGTCGCGTGAATTCTTAGAGAGAGAAAACACTGCTGTTCGTTGTCCTGCATGCTCTTGAAGCTCATCCTAAGCCCCTAAAACCCTAAATCATAAGATGAAAGAAAAGAGTATTTATACAATTAATGTCTACCTTAAAAATAGTGGCATTTCCCACACAAAATACACCCTAAATCTCAAAAATAATAAATATCATAATACCCGAAAACATAAATACAAAAATCCCCTACTCGTCCCATGGACTTTAGAAGCCCTTATTAACCCTAATACCGAAAACCCTAATACCTAAAACCCTAATACCTAAAACCCTAAAACGCCAGGTCTCGCACTTCCTATCATTGAGACGCTATGCGTCTCAAAGTGTCGGAGCCCGTCGGCTTTTCCTGTCATTGAGACAGCTTTTACATGTGTGTGCATGTGTGCGTGTTCAGGGTTTTTCAGGGTTTTTTCAGGGTTGTTGTGGTTTAGGCGTTCAGGGTTGTTGGGGCTTGGTTTAGGTAGGAAGACTTTTTAAAAAAGGGGCGCCGCCGATTTCTTTCTTGTTGTTTTTTCATGTCTCGTGTTTTCCTTTTCGTGTAAAGAAGCGCCCCTTTTTTCAAGTATTTTTAGGATTTGTGGTGTGGTTTTGGTTTAGCATTTTGGTTATTCTTTTATTGCGCTACGCGCTTGCCAGCCGTTCCAGTGGTGGTTTTTTTAATGCTCATGGTATTGTTTTGCTCATGTTGCTCAGCCCCGCCCAGCCCCGCCCGCCCCTACTTAAAGGGAAGGCACCCTTATAGGGTATGGAGAGCCCCAGCCCAGAACAGAAAAAAATGTACTTAAAGACGTTTTATCATTATAATAATATAATGTTTTTGTCAACATTAGAACAAGAAGAAAGTATTAATAAATTTTTAGGTGTAATAGAAATGAAAACAGTTATTAATGATAAGGTGAGTATATGTAAAAAATGAAAGTTTAATGAACAAAATATGAGTTTGTATAAACTAAATATGCCTAATCCTATGGCTAAACATTATGAAGAATGTGAAGTATGCAAAACTTTAAAACAGTTTAAGGAAGATGTTTATGATTGTAGCATGGAAAATTTTGAAAATGTGGTTAAAGCAGTTGAAAACAAACACAATATAGAAGAATATGAACAAACCAAATTAAACACAAAAATCTATTACTATGTTAAACTAAATCCATTTCCTACCTTTGAGAAGACATTACGAGTGTTTAAAAAAACAATTAACAGATGAATATAAATTGTATAATAACGAATTCTACAATGAGATTAAATTATTGTACGATAACTCATTTAAAATTGATGAAAAAGTAAGAGAGTTTTACAGCAAACAACGAAACAAAATAATAAATGATTATGATAAAAATGTAGATGAAGAGAATAATACAAAAAGAAAGTTTGTTAATCATCTTAAAAGACAATTACATAAAGTTGAAACTGTAATTTATATAATTCCAACATATATAGATACAAGGGAAGCATCAAATAAATTAAAGATTCAATTGTATTCAAGCGACACTAATAAATGGATTAATATACGAATAGCAAAAGTACATTTTGAAGATGAATATTCATTTGAAAGGTTTATGGATGCTAGATATCCTTACTTACCCTCAGTAGAATATAAGAAACAAAACCCAGTAATAGAGGACAAAGATTATATCAATAGTGCAGATGACGTTTTAACATAAGAACATTAACCATCATATTA